ATCTTTTTAAAATATTGCCGTAAAATAAAATAAGAATTATCATAAAACTAAATTAAAATAATATTATTCTATGTTTAAAAGCATTTCTTTAAAATAAGAGTAGGAAACGCTGGCCGTAATGAAATTGGAGAGGTACAACTTATAGGGTTTGATTACCAAAAAAGGGGTGCGTATTATGCAAGAGTAGAAGCATTTTCCCACACTTTTAACACAATTTTAGGGGTGCGAATTATGGATGAAGTCGTATTATACATGGGGAATTATGGTAATTTATTTTAAACATTTTTTGAATTAACTAAATTTCATTTCCAACGAACGGTCCTCACCAAGTACTGGAGCTCATCAAATGTTGTCTGATCCAGAGCATCTTGTTGCTTTAAATATGGTCCTAATTATGAAGATAAATTCCTGGTGTTTACGCATGTCCCACTTCACCTTTTTTTTTTTTTTTTTAATTCCCAGCATCTTTTCATAATAATTCACTTACATAAACATGCACTAGTCTTATTCTTCCATTTCTCGGTTGGTTTATCAGTTTTTAGATTTTGCCACCGACTTTTGAATTATATGAAAATTAATTAACTGTATTTGGAATGCTGAACATAGTGCTGTATCGTAAATCAAAATAAACTTACGGGTGGTGTAATGGTTATCGGAGCAGAAAATGGATTCGGTGAGCTGAATTCAAATTCCGGCCAAGGTGATGGCAACTATCAACGAGTCGTTGGTATTTTGCGCTGCTGGTTGATATACAGGGTGACTGAAAAGTAACTCCCTATTTTATGTATGGTGGATTCTACCGTAACTGTAATTTTTACAAGACGGGAGAGTCCACCATACATAAAAGAGGGAGAGTCACCTTTCAAGCAGCCTCTCTCTCTCTCTCTCTCTCTCTCTATATATATATATATATATATATATATATATATATATATATAAATTAAATTAAAAAAAACAGACAACCTTAAGGGTCCTTAGATTATATTTTATTTTCCCAGGAATGGGATTTTTTCATGGTTCATCAGATCACATTTCCAAGCATATGCTATGAACCCTTAAGGTTGTCTGTTTTTAATTTAACTAATATTCGCTTTGTTTTTACATTGAAATTCTCTTGATTACATCCTCCTTGGGATTATTCATATGGATTACGTAAACATTTCATTACCTTCTCTCTCTCTCTCTCTCTCTCTCTCTCTCTATATATATATATATATATATATATATATATATATATATATGTGTGTGTGTGTGTGTGTGATATAACGATATATAATTTTATATAATTTTGTATATATACAATATTTAGAAATATGACAGACGCGTCACAAAAAAATTTTCCAGTTTGTCATCTCTCTCTCTCTCTCTCTCTCTCTCTCTATATATATATATATATATATATATATATATATATATATATGATATAACGATGTATAATGTTGTATAATTTTGTATATCAACAAACAGTATTTAGAAAATATGACAAACGTGTCACAAGAAATTTTCCAATTTGTCATCTCTTTCTCTCTCTCTCTCTCTTCTATATATATATATATATATATATATATATATATATATAGAGAGAGAGAGAGAGAGAGAGAGAGAGAGAGAGAGAGAGAAAGATCTCCCAGGAAGATGTGGATCTGTATGATATGTCCTTTGTTGCTCAAGATCCCAGGACCATATTGTGTCGGATCCGCGGACAGCTACCTGTCGTTCGTCTTCTACATCTTTTGACCCTGGAGAACAAGTAGATCATCCCAGGTTCTTTGGGATGCTTGGACTTGTTTTGCAAGTGCTTTGATCGAATCAAACAATTCACTCTGCTCTTGTTAGTCAATGACTGCTCTTACCTCCCCATATAGGACTTATATCTGATGTCCTTGTGTGTCGCCCTTATGTTAGTGAACCCTGCCACCTTGTGCTGCTCGACCATGTTTCTGATCGACTTGAAGGGTCATGGTTGATGATGCCAACTCCTTATAACGCCTCACCGTTTAGAATGTTTGTTACTTTTGGCCACAGATGACACCTCCTCGCCAGCGGCTTCACGATCGTTCTTGATCTTGAATATGAAAGGCCAGACAACTTTCAAGGAGATGATTTCTTCGAGTTACTGAGATTGGCGGTTCGTTTTTGAAGAACTGAAGGATTTTTCACTTCAGTTATGTGCCATGCGTGATACACGCTTAGGCGATCATGTATCTTTCGATACATGACTGACGAGGCAGATTTTTTCCTACAGTAGGTTGCTATTTCTTTCTGCGGTAGACCAGTTGCCATCCAATGAACCCGGTCTGTCCTGCTATTTACCCATAGCTGGGAGGAGAAGAGGATTCATACCTTTTCCCAAGGGTATTAGCACGTAAATGAATGCAATGGATTCGACAGGATTTCGAACTCGGATCTACGATTTCTCAATCCGAGCCGCTATCCATTACTCCATTGTGGAAGCTATGTTAATATTCTCGATACGTCTAAAAAAGAAATTTTAAAATTTGGTGAATGCTGCGTAACATTGCGTAAGGTCCTGTTCTATTCATGGCTCACTGAAGGTGTCTTATCCCTGCCTGAAACCGGCTTGTTCTGCCGCTATAGTCCATAGGGATCACTTATTTCCGGTGTTTCAGCGTAATAGTTCCGATCACAGCAGAAGCCTATTTGTGTCTGCTGGTGACATTTGTAAACATGTCGTCAAAGCGGCCAAGTCTTCGTTTGCGGATAGCATAAGACACCTTTTATTTTCTAACAAGTTTGGCTCTTGTGAATACTGTCAGCTCTTTAATAGCTCTTATTAAAGAGTAAGCCTCTTCTATTCAGTCAGTCAACTTCTATTAACTTCTAGTGTTAACTTCTATTAATAAAACAGAATGCTTTGCTCGGAAGTTCCTGAAATTCTATCTCTTTACTCATCTGGAGTATCTTTGTTTGACTTTTAGAACCTATTCAGTGAAATGTATATAACTCCGTCCATGGCTTCTGATATCATCTATAAACCAATTCTCCTCAAAGCATGTGGGTTTGATGGTATCCCTGCAGTAAAATGCCCACTCGAACTGGCTCCTGTTCTCTCCAAACTTGCTGCTTCTTGATTTTCTGGTTGTTGGGAATCCTCTTCTGTAGTTCCTGTCTTTAAGAACTCGAGCGAACCATCTGATCCTTCTAACAATCGAATTGCCTTCTACGTCTTCTTTTTGACAATGTACTAGATGCTTCAATCAACACTGAATTGGTTAATCACGTTAACTCGTAACCTTTTCTTTCATATAAGAAATATGGCTTTCGCTTCTCTAGGACAACTGCTAATAATTAACGATTATTACTGAAAGAGTCTATCAAGCTTTAAATACGAATGGGGAAGCTCGGTTTGTTGATGTGGAAATCTAGAAGGCATTTGATAGGGTTTCGCATATTGGTCTTCACTGGTTAATATTTCTGAACGCATTTTTAAACTGATTCAGTCTTATCGAATCGCGAAATGAAAGTTCTCCTGAATGGCCACTCTTCTAGATCCTTTTTGCATTAATGCAGGTTATCCTCGGAAGTAAGTTGTTCCTAATTTTCATCAACGATCTTCCTAATGGCATCAACTTTCAATTCGATATCTATGCTGAGATGAGACAACCATTTATTCCCGTCTGAGCGGTTCAATACGGTTAAATTGGCAGCTAGTTTTAAAAAAATGGTCTACATTCTTCTGTTAACCGCGGCAATGAATTGCTTGTTCATGATAACGCCCCAAAACGAAGCTGCACTCTTTTAACCGACTGAGAGAATTTTTTTTTTTTTTTTTTTTACCTCCGTTCAGTATGCCTGATCCTAACCACCAGGCAAGGAATTCATTGTGCCTTCTCGGACTAGTATTTTAGACTGACATGAAGTAGAAAGATTATATTGAATCAATTGCTAGGTCTGCTGCTAGGAAAGTTGGCTCTCTATGTCGTGCTAGACAATTTTTCTCGCCAGAATCTATCTTACATATTTATAATATCTACTATTCGTCCTTGCTTTGAATATTGCCGCCGCATCTGGTCTGGTGTTCCTGCTATATATTCAGAGATCCTTGACAAAATCCAAAGAAGAATCTGCAATTTTATTCGTATCTCGGCTTTAGTAACTTTCCCGCCGCCTTATTGTACCTTCTCTGTACCTTTTCTATAAATAATTTCATGGTAGATGAACTTTCCTCTATGGTACCTAGATTTTATGAATTTAATCACAGTATAAGATTTGTGGAAAGTTCTCATAATTTTACAGATGAAATAGCTAGATGTAACCGCAAGTTCTATGTTAAGAGTTTCTTCTGTTGCACTTCTCGCTTGCTGAACTCTCTTCCGGATTCTTGCTTCCCAGTCAAGTTTGATGATCTTCAAAAATTTAAATGCAATATCAGTTGTCACCTTCTGTGTTTCTAATTCTTGTTCTTTTATTGTTCTATCTCCGTAATAGTGTTTTTTTCTTATATTCCTTAATACTCAGTAACCCCCTTGCGTCTTAGTGGCTTTATTTCCTTGTTTGGGATGAAATGATAAAAAAATGGGTGTTTTGAATAGATTACTATTTTATGTCACGTGTAATAACAAAATAGGCACATTTTTAATGCAGATTAAAAGATATTAAGTTTGTTTGATCGCTTGCTGGTCGATGATCATCACGTGGTACCTGGTTCGTAGTTGGCCTACCCCTGCTAGAAGCGATATGTTTAATGAGTACAAGAGTTTGAGTAGATATCTGTTAATTTTTAAGCAGTAAAATTAATATCAGCTGACCTAGAAATCAAGAAATCCTACTTAAGAAAATGTGCCTCCTGACATATATAAAGTGTGATACAAAATTTCGGGTAATTTGAATCGATTAGTCAATGTGGTCATCACTCAAGTTGCAATGTTTGTCACATCTCTCAACCCCCCCCGCCAGAAAATAAGGAATCCCATTTATTTTTTCTTCTATCAGAAAGTCATTTAATGCCTTAAGTTCTCTAAAAAATTCGGTTTCATGTCATGATATACTTTTTTTTTTTCAGAAAATGCCTCCTTGATATCCCGGAGAGATATCTTCTTCTTCTGAACAGGCCGTGCCTGGGGGACATGTTCACCACGTCTTGTGCTCTTTTTCTGTCATCTTTGCACCTGTGTCTATGCGTCGACCTCATCTACTACGCCACAGAAGGTAAAAATCCAGGGACCTTCCTGGGGGATCTAGCAGCAGATACGAATCTCATGGAAGAGAATGACCATAATTCCATTAGCTTCATCCAGTTGGGAGAAGACGTCATGGACAGCTTTCATTTGTTCCGCGTTTCAAAAACGACCGGGAAATTGTACACGGCTCAAATGCTGGACGCTGAGTCTCTCTGCAAGCGTAACACCGAATGTTTTCGGACAGTGGATGTTGCCGCCCAGCAAGGCGAGACATTCATGCAGATATTAGAAATTAAGATAATAATACAAGATATAAACGACCATCATCCGAAATTTCCAGTCAAGCAAGTGGATATTGAATTTTCTGAAGATGATAGGAAGGGTCGAGGACGCTTGATCCCCAGCGCCATCGACCAGGACGTCAGTTTTCTCAATTCCCAGATCACGTACGAACTGAGGAAAAAAGTAAAACCTTTCACGTTGAGTATTTCAAATCGTGTCGACGGTACGGTCGACCTGCTGATAAGTCTTGAAGACAATCTGGATAGGGAAGTGACTGACGCTTATGACCTACAAGTTGTAGCCAAAGACAAAGGTACACCCGCAAAGCAGGCCATATTGAACGTCAGAGTATCTGTGTTGGATGTGAACGACAATATTCCAGTCTTCCCCCAAAATCTTTACAATGTCTCCGCCATCAATGAACATTATAGCTCAATGCCATTGGTCGTTCTTTCCGCTACAGATTCGGACTTAGGTAAAAACGGCGAGGTGTCGTATCGTTTCAGCTCCCAGACACCTGAAAATATTAGAAGTCATTTCGAATTGCAAGAGACAACGGGTGAGATTTTTCTCTGCAAGAAATTCGTGCCAGGCCAGGAACTCAAATCGAAGCTTTACGTGAAGGCTGTCGACGGGGGTACTCCACCTCTGAGTTCAGTCGTTATGGTGCTGGTCAACGTGATAAGCCAACAAAACAACGAACCGATCATAGATATAAATTTTGTGTCTGTGTCGACCGGAAAGATCGCCACCATTTCCGAAGGTGTCCGAGTTGGTAGCTTTATTGCCTATGTGAAAGTCACTGATCACGACGTGGGACTTAATGGCGAAGTCGCTTGTAATATCCAGCATGAGAAATTTCAGCTTCAGGATCTAAGTCCCAAAAAATATAAAGTGACCATAAAACAATCTTTAGACCGAGAAACAGAAACTCATCACGACGTCACTATCCGTTGCCAGGATAAAGGTTCCCCTCCGTTGCACCGTGAAAGTAAATTTTCCATCCAGGTTTTAGATATCAACGACGTATTACCAACATTTTCCAAACATACGTTCCATTTTTGGACGGCCGAGAATCAGAGATCTAAAGTTCTTGTTGGTTACATCACGGCCACAGACCCAGATCTCGGACCAGGCGGACAGCTGACATATACGATGTTGAAAAGTCAAGAACAGTTATTACCTTTTCATTTAACAGACGACGGGTTCATATCCACCACGTCATCTCTCGATCACGAACTTAAAGACGTCTACAAATTTCGGGTGCTAGTTAGGGATAACGGGACGCCATCTTTGAATAGCACAGCGGACGTCGTCATTGAAGTTACGGATGTGAACGACAACGCCCCGTATTTCACCTTCCCCGGTGTCAACCCGTTCACGTTTGAGTTCAACTATCATCCGCGTAGTAAAAACAACATCACCATGTTAAAGGCGTCGGACAGTGATAGCAGAGAAAATGCTTTTCTTAAATATGAAATAACGACAGGAAACGAGAAGCAGTTATTCACGATCAACAGATACACTGGGTTGTTATCTTTCACTCGTGTGCCGTCTCAAGAGGACGCTGGATTTTACGATCTACACTTCGCCGTAAAAGACAGCGGTAGACCCGTCCGGTCGGCAGAAACAGTGGTCTCTCTAATGCTGATCGTTAGTAACGACACGTCCGAGCTGCATTTCATGGATATATCCAAATCGGAAGAGGCGATGGATGTAGGTCTGCTTATTCTCACTGTCTTGTTGGCCGTAGTAGCCTCCATAGCTCTTGTGATCCCTATCACTATTTGTATTATTAGATACAATGACCGAAGGAACGCGTCTCGTAGAAACCAGGTCAACCCGAATCCGTGCACCAAATGTACGACAGAACCGGAACCGGAAATGGAAGAAGAAAGTCAGCATCCGGCTACTGGAGGGACGGCCATGATTCTCCAAACGACAACTACCGAGGTACAAAAAAAAAGTGAAAAAGAATAATACTTCTAATGTGGGTAATTTGAATGACGTTGTGATAATTTGCGTTCCCGCTCATTTATTAAGCATTACACTTGGCTGGTCATGTGGCCCTTAACGACCAATAGCAATTTTTACTAAGCGTAGCTTAGATGTGGCACAAGGCCCAAAGTATGAAGCATCCAGTGAGGATCGAACTCATTACTCAGTCGTAATTGATGTAGCAAGGTAAGCTTACTATCCATTATGCTTCGTCGAAGTACCCTAATGATTTTCTAAGTGTGGCACCTAGTGAGGATCGAACACACTAAGTTCTAATTGATCTAGCGAGACAAGCTTTCTAACCATTACACCACATCGAAGTGTAATGGTTAGAAAGCTTGTCTCGCTAGAACAATTGCGACTGAATAGTGAGTTCGATCCTTACTGTGTGCCCATACTTGTGCCACATCTATGCTACGCTTAGAAAGTCACCATATTTATGTGTATAGGCACCCTACGTAAAAAAACGACCTTGTGTCACGTCCTGACGTAGTGGGGAGGTCAAATAAATAATCCCTTCCCGACCTTAGGGCTGGGATCAAATGGTAGTATCTGTTCCTCGCATTTTAGATGGGAGAAGAGGATTCCAATCCTGTGGCAGCACTTTCTTCATTGCACTAAGAGAGGTGGAGTCGGTATTATATCGACGCCATCTTGATAGTTGTTGCGGACACTGGGCAATTGTTGTCCTTGGCCCATATGTATGCTTATGGGCACCCCACATAAAAAAAGACCTTGTATCATATCTTACTTTACTGGGGAAGTCAGGTAAATAAAAGCAGTGGGTCCTTGTTTTTATAGACAACAACAAAAATAAAACACGTTAAACAAGAAACACCGTATATATCTAAATAAATAAAATGAAGAGTTTATTTACTAAGCTTTACGTACTACAGCAAAAGATGTTTACAGAAGCTAGTTTCCTAAGCAATCCCCACTTGAGAAATGATCAGACTCAACATTGCTAATCTTCTGAGATCGTACGAAAACGCAATGTTTTTCAACCGAAAATTGAAAATTTGAGAAAAAAGTCTAGAAACTTAAAATAATTTCTGTTAATGCTCCAAAAAGCAATTCTTTTAAGTTAGTTTTGTTTTCCTTCAAAGTCACAAAACTAGTAAACGCGTGAGCTCAGAAACAAGGATAATAAATGCGTCCACATTGAAAAATGTCTCCTGATTAATTCTGATGCGTAAGTTATATAAGTTAAGGCTGAGAGGCCCTCATGTTTAAAGTCGAGAGCAGTTCTCTCCAAACTGTTCAATAAGCGTCAAGTTGTATAGTTTGCAGATGTTTAAATGAGTTTTATTACAATCAGCTATAGTTCAGAACAAAATAGATAAGTGACAATTAAAAAGAAAGAGAACCGAACAACGAGCCTGGTGTGGTTTGCGTGATATAAGTTCGGAAACCCTTAGCCTGGAAGCATAAAGATATGACAAGGGAAAAATAAAGCTACTGGGCTTTGCTTTTTCCTTCCCCTGAGAAGTGATTTTAATTTTATTCCGTAATTATTTTCTCTTATCATAAACACGAAAAGACTGATTCTCATGACAAATATAATAATTACTTTTTTATTTCTTTTCTAAGAAGTATTTTTCTTCAGAACACAGGCGACCGTAACTCTTTGTACTTTTGAATTCAGAATAGTCCTTTTCTTAGTCTGACTGCCACTCAAGACAAGTGTGCAGCCGACGTTTTCCTTTATCAATTATCATTCTTAGTATGTACAGGAAGCGTAATGGTTAGCGGCGTGGGACGTGGAACTAGCCGAATCTGTTGCATTCACTTTCGCACAGATCACCTTAAGAATAGAATGAATCAAATTCTTCTCCCACCCCCTAAAAGCTATGGGTTAAATAGCAAAGAAACTTAGCTCTCTGTTGGATATCGGTTAAGGAAAAACCTTTGGCCTTACTTCCGCTGCATCAGTGAGTGAAAGGGAAATCGGATCTGGTGATAGCATAGACAGGAAATGCATCCAGTGGCTAAAATAAACAGGACGTACAGGTATCCTGAGCCTTGAATAAACAGGTCGCACAGGTGTCCTGAGTGGAAGGAAATACGTGCTTGAGTGGGCGCATGCCTGAAGAGGCGTAGCCACATGAAATTGCGAAGGCGACATACCGGAAGAAGGCGTAGCCATGTGAAGTTGCATAGGTGTCCAAATGTTATATAACCAGTCCAATTATTGATCTGGACTGAGAAGCTGGCTAGAGCAATCTTAACATTTGTGATTCTCCCTCAATCTACCCGTTCTCGAACAATAAAGATCTTTATTTATATATGTGTGTGTTCATCGCATCATTTGTGTCCAGCAGCAATATACAACATTTCTAGCTTTGGACAGCAGTCAGTCTTGGAAATGGATAATTCTGAATTTAAAACCGTGGAAAAGATAGCGGGTAAGCACTACACAATCTTTCTGAAGAAGCCATAGCAAGTTACAGATAATAAATAAAACGCATCTCTGGAAATCATTAACACCCTGAAGGGATATTGCATTTAAAAAATACCAATATTCACCATCATTTAACACTTAGCTTGTGGGAGTAGAAATGCATACTTTTTCCCAAAGGTATTAGTGCCAAGTAAATGCCACTTTATCAACAAGAAATATATAAAGAGATATCAGGAATCTGGTCATTGTCAATGATAATATAAAACGTACCTTTCAGATGTTAATGAAATCCATATATCTAACATATTCAAACCAATATCTACTTAGATTCATGCCTATCTCTATTGTTACACCTTTATCAACTTAAGTTTATGTCTGTATCTATTCATGTTCATACCTATCTTAACTTATATTCATCATGATATACAATGTTGACTGATTTGTTTTTACGGCTTTGTGAGTTATTTAAAGCCGAAACATACTTTGGATAGTAAGAATAATTAGTTTTCTTTTTGTCGAGTGAATATTGCATTGAAAATAACAATGAGTTTTCCAGATACAGTTCCTACTATTTAACCCATAGCTGACAGGAGAATATGGATTTATACCTTGTCTAAGGGTATTTGAGATAAATGAATGCAATAAACCTGGCTGGGATTTTTTCTTTATAATCTGTGAATTGCCATGATTTCTTGAGAAAGATAATGGTCATTTTTTCTATTGCCTCCTGCAAGGATTTGAATTCACAGTTGTCCTCCAAGGTTTCTTTTCTTTATTATCTGTGAATTGACATGATTTCTAGAGAAAGTTATGTTTTTTTTCTATTGCCTCCTGCAAGGCTTTGAATTCACAGTTGTCCTCCAAGGCTTTGAATTCACAGTTGTCCTCCAAGGTTTCTTTTCTTTATTATCTGTTAATTGCCAAGTTTTCTTGAGAAAGAGAGTAGAGTGTTTTTTCGTTACCGTATTCCTGGCTTTGAATTCACAGTTGTCTTTCTCCTAGATTGGCTGCCAGTCAGAGGTAGAATGCTCAGTTTACCCTGCCATCTAACTCGTAGGTTTTTAGAAAAATTCATGCATTTCACAAGTTCAACTGTCCGAATGTGAACGCAAGCGACTAGACTGGAAATTGAACTCATCTCGCTGATTCTATTTTCGCACCGACAACCATTACTCTACACACACACGTACATCCAATGTTTGCTTATATAGGCGTGTATGTGCATTTGCATATTAAAGCGTATATTTCTCTTGATAAATATTTAAAATATTTTCAGGTGTGCGTGCAGGAAGTAGCAGTAAGCTCTAATGGCGTATGTTCCAACACAGAAACTTCCAATGCAGAACCTGGTCGAAGTAACGACCGACACGGAGTTGTGACCACGGGCCAAGCCGAACTGATGCCAGGTACGTGAATAGCATTTGATATTTTCGTCTAGCAATTGTCTTTGTTGTTCTGAGCTTTTAATGCAGTAAAAGACGCTTCTAGGTCCTTATCCATACGTGTACAAACACGACCCTAAACAAATATGCAGTGTTTTTGATTGATTTTCTTTTCTTTTCTTTTAAGCTGGTATATTAAATTAATGAGATAAAGTCACTCCTCACTTAACGACTTAACACTATATCAAGAAATTAATGAGACAAAGTCCCTCATCACTTAACGACTTAATGGTAAGCTATGTAAGTGACGGCATCATCTAGTCCAGCCAACATCGTATCCATTATTTGCTGGAAAATACCTGGGCCTTCTTTTAAACCGAAGGGTAATCTTCTAAACTTGTAGAGTCTTTTACGTGTATTAACAGTCAAATACTTCTGGTATTCTTCATCCACCGCGATTTGAAGATATGCATCAGACAGGTCAATTGAAAAAAAAATACCACCATTTAATTTGGCAAATATATCCTCTGGATTTAGTAGGGAGAAGGCAGTTATTCAACCCAGTCGAAAAATCTACTCATAAAAGAATCTTTTCTTTCTAATATAAACCATCAGCGTGGCCCATTCTGAATAATCTATTTTTTTCAATAACTTCGCAGTTTTCTAACCATTCAAGTTCGTTGTTAATAGATTCCAATGGTGTTAACAGACTCTTTTAGAATTAAAAACTCGTATGACATTTTCTTTTAATTTGAAATATGCCTTTGACTTTGTACATTTTTTCAACACCACTAAGAACATTTTTGTGAATTTATTTTTTAATTTACTCAGTATTTCTTTAGCTGTAATCTTTTTCTCTGATGAACAATGAATTTTTCCACAGAATGAATTAATTGGCCAATTCCATTGTTCAAATAATTCTAGCCAATCGTACCCTGGTAAATTCAAGTTGGAATTTTTAATGCGTAAACATCTGATCTTTCGTTTTACCCGGAAGAGCGACATTACATGTAATTTTCCCAAGAAAAATTAATTTCTTACACGATCATCCTTTTACAACTCCGTAGGTTTTTTTCCTAGTTAGGCTTGCCAATTCTGTTCCAAATTTGTTTATCAATAATTGTAATATCGCTACCAGTGTCCAATTGAAATCTTACTGTAGCATTATTAATTTTTACTGTCGCGAATTTTCTATTATT